TTAGTGTCATCTGCAAACCTGCTGAGGGAGCGCTCATCCCCTCATCCAGAGCATTGATAAAGATGTTAAGCAGGACTGGCCCCAAAACAGAGCCCTGGGGAACACCGCTTGTGACTGGTCACCAACTGGATTTAGCTCCTTTCACCACAACTCTCTGTGCTCAGCCATCCAGCCAGTTTTTAACCCAGTAAAGCATATGCCCGTCCAAGCCATGCCCAGCCAGCTTCTCAAGGAGGATGCTGTGTCAAAGGCCTTACTAAAGTCCAGGTAGACAACGTCTACAGCCTTCTCCTCGTCTACCAAGCAGGTCACTTCATCATAAAAGGAGATAAGATTAGTCAAGCAGGACCTGCCCTTCCTGAACCCATGCTGACTGGGCCTGATCACTTGGTTGTCCTTCATAGCCAGGTTGCATTTTCCTTGATAAAACTTCAGATTACAGCTCTGTTTTCTTGGTTACTCTACCCAGGATTTGTTTACTTGTTACTCAGGAGATCTGAGGCTGCATGTACAGTTAATATACAGGTAAAGTTAAATATACAGGTAAAATGTTTTCCGTAACAAAAAACTGTGATCAGAATAGTGAGGTTCCAAGGCACAGAAGCGGAGTTGGTTGAATTTAAACTTTTGTTATTTTTTGTTAAGCCATAAACGGGACTACTTATATAAGCATTCAAACTTAAAAAAATGAAAGCTGATTATGCTATTGGCATCATTTAATTGAAGCTGCTCTTCACAGTAGCTCATATATTGCATGGAAATCATCAGTTATAAAAGTTAAGGAAGAGGAAGGAATTACTATTCAAACAGAAGTAAAACACTGGAGGCTATGCAAGTATCAGCAACTCCTCAGTCCTGAATTTGAGCATCCCACGCAGTAGGAAGAACAACAATTGAATTACACTTTATTAATGTATATTTGTGCAACTCTTTTGCAATATGCAAGGTATCCTTTCTCTTGGGTTTTACTTTTTATGTTGGATAACTTTCACAAGTAGCTTTAAGCGATTTGATTAAAAATATATTTCCCTAGTAGGTGTGTTTTCTGTCTTTGTTTATGATGTCTGCTCTGGAAGACAAGCTTGTGATTTGATGGTATTAGGGAGTTTTGTAATGTGGGAAAAATTCTTTTTAAGACTTGAAAATTTTCATTATACTGAAAGGCCAGTTATGGTCATAACCAAGCTTTCTTCCATCATGTGTAAGCTTGTACTTATTTGACAGGTGAACTGAGAAAACATTCAATACCAGACTTAAGGTCATTCCCTCCTTTCTTCATTTCTTACCTTAGTACTCAAAGAGAGCTGCAAAGGAACATGATGAATAGCAATATCAATTTTAGTTTCTAATCTGAGGCTTAATGGATTTGCTTTTCTACGGTTATGTCCAAGGGTGCACTGTCAGCATAGATTTCACATTTCTTTCTGATTTTTTTTCTTAGCTATTTTTTGCTATGCTTACTTTTTGAGCTTTTTTGGAAAAAAAACCAACAAACAAAACCAACAGGCCAATAGCATGACTAGAAGGAAGACAAATTTCTTTATTGTGCTGCTGTATACTTTGTGTAACGTGCTTCTTTGTTTCCTTTCTGGAAGTAGAGGTGGTTCTGTGTTGATATGAACAGCCCAGGCAAACTGCACAACTGGAACTGTGAAAAAGGTGACTGTAGACCTTGAAGCTCTGCCCAGGGTGGGCAGTGCTGGATATTACTTTAATCAGCCTTGAAAAAATTACTAGGTTTTGAGCTGACAATACTTTGCAGAAAGTGTCTTAATTGAAGGAGGTTTGATGCATCTGTTCTTTAATATGAAGGTGATCTTTAAAGCCTGCTAAAATTTACAAATGCCATTTTTTTGGTGATGCTTCTGGATTTACATCAAACTGTAAAACAAATTTCACAACTGTTGTGAAAACTCTGAGCATTTGCCAGTTATCAGCTGCTGTGTATTGTAGTGGCAAGAATGTCTGTTAAATGTCACTTCCTTTTTGTTTGGTGCTAAATGTAACAACCCTAAAAACTCTTGGTTTTAATTTGGCTTTGCTATCTTTAGCTTCCCTCAGTAGAAATACGAGTACATGTAAGAACAGCAAACTTCATGAAAATGAGTAAATGTGTTTTCCTTGACACCTGCTTCTCCAGACTCGAGACGAAACTTGGCATTGCTGGTCTTGTTCTAATGATGAATTGGGTTACAGGCTTAACGGAAAGTACACCAAAACGTTGTTCAAAACAGGCAGTTTATCTTTTCAGAGGTGCCCAGGTGTTTTTGTTAGCCTCCATTATGTATGATTTTGCAATTTGTGGTTCTGTTCATTATGGTTGTTTTTAATTTAATGGCACACCCAAGTGGCCAAACGGAGGCACGTCACTGTAGTTGGCAGCAGGTTACCTGCAGTGAAACTGCCAAGACCCAGAGTTTGTCTGCTTTGAATGTGACTGCAAATAAGCAAAATCTTACTGGTTAAGCAAGTGCTCTTCTGCCAGGCTCCAGAGCACAATCTTTTAAAGAAATGTGGTTTCATGTTTGGAACAGAAGTCTGAAAGTTGGACAATCTGGATTCTATTTCCAGTTCTGCCACAGACTTGTTCCACGCGTTTAGCCAAGTATCTGAGATCTGGATTTGAGAGGTGTACTGAGAGTTCAGACAGTACCTCCTCGCTCTTGGTGTTTGTCTTATTTTAAAAGCTGCTGCTTTCGCAAAGTCAGAGTTTTGAACTATAACTTATTGCTACTATTTTAGGATTTCAGTGCTAAGTAACCAATAGCACACCCAATTTACATAGAGCTATAAATAATAAATGTGTTTTTTCATCCTTTTATAGGAAGCGTGACTATGAAGGGTTTCTGTGTTCTCTGCTGTTGCCTGCGGAATCTCGAACCTCTGCTTTTGCCTTGAGAGCCTTCAATGTGGAACTGGCCCAGGCAGGTATTAAAATACATTTGTGAACTCTGGAAATGTAAAATAACCATTTTGATATTTTAAATTACACTGGTAGGTGGTGTTTTGCCAAGATTAACTTTTTGTACTATAATGGGCAATGAATAAATAGTGCAATACAAACCTCTAGTTTTGAATGGCCTTTGAAAAGTAGCCATCCTCCTCCAACTTTCCTCTTTGTTGTGCATTTTAAAATGAAATGGTAACAAACAGTCTGTGGTCCTTGATACTCATGTGTGTTTGCATCTATGTCCTGGCTTCAAATGCAGTGTCAGTAAAGTGCAGCTAAATCCTATGTGTAGAAGGTCTGTCAAAAACTTGGGTGATATAATCAGTCCCAGGTCTTTGTTGGCAGCAGCTGGGTAATGCAAAGGCTGCCAGGAGAGAAGTTGGTAATTAAAATTGTGGGAGGGGAGTGGCTGCAGTCTCTCCCCTTTGCTTGGTGATGAGAAAGTGCCAGCGCAACCAAGAAAGTTGGGAATGGGTGCCAGAACAGAGCGATCCAGGAAATGTGCTGACCAAGCAAGATCCGGATCAGCTTCTGTGGGCTGTGCTTTTGGCAGCCCATGGTGCAGCCCTTCCTCGCTGCTGTTGCTACCACTGCTTTTCCTTCTGGGAAGAAAGCTAAGGTGAGGGCTGCCCAGGACTTCATCTCCGTGGATTCCAAAGCCAGGTTGTGGTGAAGATTTTTAATTTATTTTTATTCTTTTACTTTCTAGTGTTTGTATGGTTTATGAGGAATAACCATAAATTCAAAATTGACCACTTGCCCCACTGAGTTTGGCTGTGTCTATTTGTTCTATATTTCAATGTAGATAGACCAAGTGCCCTAAAGACACTGTGAATTTGAGTCCAGATGTATCCTTTCTAGATTAAAGACTCCATAACTCAGAAGACTACAGGTTTGATGCGAATGCAGTTCTGGAGGGAGGCTGTGGAAGGTATATACTGTGATAGCCCACCACATCAGCCAGTTGCTACAGAACTATGGAAGGTAAAATAGACCTTTATTGTCCTAAAATTCACTTGACTAAAATATTACGGTGAGAAATAGTGTCATTGTTTTGTGTGTGCCATGTTGCATATTTAACAGCATTGTTTTATATAAAACAGATAATGTAAATTGTGTTTGTGTCTGTGTGTGATGTTTTAAGTTACCTACAACCAAAGAGCAGAGTTGGAGAAGGAGGATATTTAGGTAGGACCCACTTGGAGGGTCAGACTTCTGTGAACCATCTGCTTTCTTATCTTCTGTTTAGATGAAGGTAAGTTAACAGCAAGTGAAGTGCATAAGTACACTTTCTCGAGCCGGTGCTAGTCCTGCCTGAAGAGATTAAGCTGTGCAAAAAGACAGGAGGCTAAGCACGGATGTTGAACTAGCAAATGAGGTTTAAGGAAAAGCCCAAGATCTTCGTACCTAGTTACTGGATAATAGGAAGAAACTTAATACGGTCTTCTTGCATCAAGAGTTGCTTGATGACTTATTTATGTATTATGTTTTGCACAGATCCTTTTCTGTACGTTGAGTAACAGGGAATGTGCTTGTGAACTGAACAGTTTATTTTTAGCAGGATGCCCGAGTTCTGTAGGCACTAGAACATCCCACATCAAGTACACCTACAGATCCGTTCCTCTGCTGGTCACAGCCAAAGAAACAGAGACTTTCTTGCAAATTGTTTTGTTTCTAATTATATCATTGATACAGTAAATGGATGATTGAAGGTCTGAAGGCAGTGTAAATGCATTTCCCCTTGATGCTGATACAGACCCACAAAATAATTGAGTTGGTCGACATCTCTGGTTGTCATCTAGTCCAACTTGCCACTCAAAGAAGATCTAACAGCAAAGTTAGATTAGGTTGTCAGGGTCACATGGAGTTGAATTTGGAATTTCTTTGCAGATGGAAATTCTACGCATTTCTAACTTGTCATCTTAGGGCTGCAGGCCACAGCAAGTCTTGGACCCTTCCAAGAGAGCAGCTGCTGTGAGGCCTGTACTCTATGAGGTCGGGACTTGCATTTAAACTAAAGATCTGTGCCCTCCTGGGCATGAAAAGCTGCAGTTTGTCTAGATCTCAATAGCTGAATACAGTTAACATAGATGCCATAGGGAGTTAGGTTTATGGACATGCTGAAATGCAGGCAGTGAAATGTGGAGTCTTCATCCAAGCATTCATCTGCACTGTTCCTGTTAAAATCCTGGGAAAAGCAGGACACTCGCACTAATGCTGGGTCAGAACACCGTGGTTCCTGCAGGATTAAAGCATTTTGCTTGTTGCCATCTTGGCTTCCACTCTGCTGCACCTCTGAGACCACAAAAATGAGTCCTTTCCAAATCCTCTCTCAATGAATTTTGGCAGTGCTGAAACTGGCCTCTCCCTGACTCTTCCTCCTTCAAATGTGAAATAAAGCGTAAGTGAGCATTTGTTCCTGTCTGTCAGCACTCACGTTTAGGTTAAAATTGAGATTTAAACAAGATACAGTTTAGCTAAAAGAAAACATAGGTAAAGTCAAGAAGTAAAATAAAAGAAAAACACCTGTCACAGTAACTTTTAGGAGTACCAGAGCTATTCATCGATGTCTCCAGCTCAGATAAAGAGCGTGCCTTAGCCGCAACAAAGCATTCGTAGAGTTAGAATGGAGCCTGGCAAATGTTGTCTGCCTTTTTATGGGATTAAGCGAGTTGAAGATGCACCTAGGGTGATATTTTAATGCAGACATTGGAATGCAGCATTGGTTGTTTTGCATGTCAATCTGTCTGCCTTTGCCTTTTATTTCCTTCTTTCTGTCTCTCTTCCAGCTTATGGCAAACTTCCCAGGAACAAGACCATTTTTTCCCAAAATGCTTTTGCCTACTTTTTGAGGAGGAACTTGCTTTAGTGTAGCTTAACTTATTTTTGTTTCTGAAGATGCTGTCTCAGTTGTCTGATGGAGTAGGTTAGGTACAAGTTAGGTTTGGGTGTGATTTTATATATTCTTTTGACCACTTCTAATTTCAGACTGCTTGTGTATGTATCAATGTGGAGTGAAGATGTTTATTAGCAGAAGAGTAGTTTATAAAAAAAACCCAGCCAGCATCTAAGCACCACATGCCTGCTCACTCTCTCCTCCCCTGGTGGTATGTGGGGAAAAAACTGTAATGGTGGTTGAGGTAAAAACAGTTTAAAAATTAAACAGAAATAATAATAACAAAAAGTGTAAGAAAGAGAGGAAAAATAGAGAGAAATAAAACCCAAGAAAGACAAGTGATGCAAACAAAACCAGTTGCTTACCACCAACTGACTGATGCCCAACCAGTCCCTGAGCAGCATCCCACCTCCACCAACCTCCTTCGTGGTTTATTGTTGAGCGTGATGTCATATGGCATGGGACATCCCTTTGGTCAGCTGGGGTCAGCTGTCCCAGCTGTGTCCCCTCCCACCTTCTTGTGCTCCCCCAGCCTACTTGCTGGTGGGACAGTTTGAGAAGCAGAAAAGGCCTTGATGCTGCTGTGTAAGCACTGCTCAGCCGTAACTAAAGCATCAGTGTGTTGTCAACACAATTTTCAGCACAGATCCAAAACACAGGCCTATAGAAGCTGCTATGAAGACATTCAACTCTGTCCCAGCCAAACCAAGTACAACATTCACATGCAGATAATTCAGATACTGAGATACCAGTCGCAACCCTTCTAAACAGCTAAGACCTCCAGTTATATTCCTTTCTCACAAAACTTAAAATTGATTTTGAAGTGGAAGAAAGAACTGGCCTGTCTCTGTGGTAAGATTTCACCTTACATACGATTTCTCTAAAGGAAAACCAATATGAAACAATCCAAACCGAACTGGTTGTGAAATAAGATATTGAAAAATAATTCAGAAAGTATTTCTAGGAGCTCTGATAGTTCTGAACACTGCAGAGCGCTGGAGTGCGCTAACAGTCCAACCTGACCCGGTGACCTTTGCACTCGAGATGTGATTTTATTTCTACATTTCAGCAAATACCCCAAGAATGACCTATTTGAAGCACAGCTTCACAGATGTTCAAGAATGTCACTGTAATTCTTAGAAAGAAGGATTTGGAAAGATGCCTGAACTCACAAGTATTGCAGATCTGTTAATAGAATTAGCGTATCTTTTGCACAGCATATTCCGTGTATACTCTTTTCTTGCTCTTGAGTTTGTATGAGGACAATTTTGATTTTCAAGAAAAATACTAATTTTCTAATACTGTGTTCCCAAAGTTTTGGATTTTCAAGGATTTCATTTACAAAATGATACTCAAGATGAACAAATGAGAAGCAAAACTGACATTTGTAGTTGTAACTTAAAATTGGCATTTTGACATACTAAGTACTTCCTCAAAGCAGATTTTGTTGAATCTAAAGAAGATCTAGTCTTGTCAGATCCTGAAAAAATATTTACAAATATAATGGATGTAAAGAAGAAGTTGAAAGTGAGCTAAAAAGGCTAAGATTGTGAGAAATCTGCTCCATAAGTTTTGTTTATAAATATTTATGTATATCATTGTGGCCTTTCTGACAGTGTTGTCTGCAGAAGCCAGTGTGTGTCAGTAAGAGGACCAAAGCTAAGTTAAAGTTAAGTTAGAAAGAAGTGGTGCGGGAAGGAAGTCAAATACAAGATAAGCACCAAAAGAAGAATGTGTGAATATGAGGTTCTGTGCGATGCTTTTTTAAACAAAACCATATAGTATTCATTATATTACTTCATTAGGATGCTGTCTTTACAGAATATATTGGTATGTTGTACTGATGGTTTTTATTGCTTGGCTCTGAAGGAAACTGTATTCTCTTTGGAAAGTAGACATAGTGATCTGCAGATATTTTGTGGGACCGTATGAGTCCATGAAAGAATAAATTACTTTCAAAATTATTTTTAAAGAAATGCTTTTAGCTAACTGGCTTGATGTCCAAGATTTCATTTTTTGTGTGCAGCAACTTGCAACATACGCAAGTTGAACATTTTTGTATTTGAAGAAGATTCTCATTTTCAACTGATGTGGAAAATTAGAAAAAATTTAACCCAGTGAGTACAATCCCTGTAAGAAAAGGTTTATACAAAATATATTTCAGCCTTCAGAATGCAGTTCTACTATCACTTTGTATACGTTAACATGAATTTTTTAAAAATAATTTTCAGGCTGTCAAGAGGCATAACTTGACTAAAATGTGGTTCATGAAGATCGTTGATGAAAGAGTAAGTGCCATTCAAAGTCTGATTCTGTTTTTAGTCGTATTTGGGGGTTTCCCTCCCTTATTTTTATGTGTTTGTGTGTAAAACAAAATCTTAAGTGATTAATCTTTTCCAGACAGGAGTAGTTCTCTTTAAGAATGGTACTACTGTATTTCCTTTTAATTCTCCCTTGATGCCCCTGCTCATAATTTCTGCTCTTTCTGGCCAGAACGGCTCTGGGTTTTTTTGCTTTAAAATAGATGTAGTTTGTGAGTCCACATCTTTTCTTGTTCCCTTCTTGGATAACCAGTGTATCTGTGCTCATGTTTTCCATTGCTGGTTCCTGATTTGAAGTGGTTACCCCTAGAGGTAATCCATGGGGAGTTACACTTTGATACCTTCTGTATGTAAGTGAGGGAAGTTCCGTCCTATGGGATTAAGTAGTGAGGTCTCGATAGGCAACTGTTAAGAATTCTGGAAAACTACATTTCAATAGGAATAGAAATGAAAAAGAGAAGAGAAACAAGAAGACAAGAAGAAAAACTCACACTTGGTCTCTTTTTGTGCCATTCTGATCCTGCCCCAATAGAAAGGGCATCTTGCATATTGCAGAAAATTGCACAAATCTACATCATTGGCATTATCTTATTCCTCTCCCCCCCTTTTTCTTGTGAAAAGTCATGGATATAAATATCCATGACTCTTGTGATGAATCATGGATATAAAAATCTCAAAAATTAAATGTCCCATCTGAACCTTTGTGCCACACTTTGCTGCTTCTCCTTATCATGGCTGTGGAGTTTTTTCTAAGCAGTGCTGCCAATTGGAGCATTCAAATCACATACATTTTAAAATATTCCCCCTTTTTTGGGAAAAAAATGAAGAATTTCACTGATACAGTGATGCAGAAATTTCTTAAGGTGGTTTTACTGCTAAAGTTGATGTCTCATGAAGTTATACTTTGAGGAAATTCATGGTTGGTTACCTGCAGAGTGTCATTGCTATAAAAGACTTCTTAAGACTGGAATGTTTCAACCACAAAAGCCACTAGGACAGGAAGAATGATGGAGGATGTTATATGTAATAATGGATTAAGCTGACCTGACTGTAGTAATAAACTTGCACAAATAGCAGTTATATTTGCATTTTACTGAAGTTCTGTATTCACATTACAGGAGAAGAATTTGGATGATAGAGCGTACCGTAACATCCAGGAGCTTGAAACGTATGCTGAGAACACGCAGAGTGCTCTCCTGTACCTCACCTTGGAAATGCTGGGTAGGCATTTTCCCCTTTTTAGCTTTTGTTGGTGACTCAGTAGTGCAGATACAAAATTTATTGGTGCTTCAGAAAGCCCGCTATTTTTCCACTGGAGTTTAGTTTCAGTGGAGGTCGTCTTAGGTAATGCTTCAGATATCTTTTGAATGCTTAACCATAAATCCGGACTCTTACTGCGCCTGTCCTAGAACTATGTACTTTCCTTAGCAGCTGCTCAGTGGAAAGCTCATTGAAGTGCAGTTTCCTACTGCTCTGTTCTTTGCTGCTTTGTTTTCTCTTTTCTTGCTCCTATTACAGAGTGTGGTAAATTCAGCTCTTCACGGCATTTTCTGATTATCCCACTTGTCCGAGCTCAAAGTGCTGTAGTTCTTCTGCAGCTGTTTCTGTACTGCAGTGATGTACACTGGTTATCCTGAAGCAGCTGACTTCCCAACCTACACACTTCCCTTGGTGGTGATGTAAATTTGGGGCTGAGTCCTCTCCTTTTCCTCAAAGTAGGTTAACTATCAATAATTGAATAGCTAGAAAAAATGCAACAAAGATGATATGGTCATTGTGGTTAAGAACTAATATCTGTGTCATGTCTAATACAGGAGTCACAGATTGGGAAAGAGCTGTTCATTTGCAGTGAAGAAAAGGGTGACTTTCAGGTGTCTGTTGCATTATTGAAGTATTCCCTGTATGAGCTCAGATGTAAAAGAAATGTGAGAATTATTTCGTAGTATTTAATGTTGTCGTAGCAGTATTTTCCTCTTGCTTATTAGTCTGATGGAAGGTAAATTCTGAGGTTAAAAGAGTTTAGAAAGAAAAAAGAGAGAGAAGTAAAAAGAGACACATGGTGAGCACATTCTTCTTAGGAAGAAATGAGGAACCGATCTCTTAACGTCTGATGTTGGCTTCCTTAGTAGGAAATCAGTGAAATGTTGCAAGTGTCTTTCAGAACTTCTGATTGAGGAAATGTAGGAGTATGAGAAATATCAATGTCCTCCAGTCTGAGAAATGTCTGTGGTCCTGAAGAAGTTCAGTCATGCTTGGGTCACTCCAGACACAAGTCAGATGATCCTCTTCTTGAAAATCCGTTATGGGGAATCTGGATTTTCTAGGTGCCCTATTGTCATGTTTAACTTCTTTTAAATATATCAGTGTAACAGAATATCTAAGAAAAAGTCTCCTTTACTGCCTATTAAACAGTTAACTTCTGTGGCTTTTTCCACAAATGGAGAAATTAATTGAACACAGCCCATTTCTTCTTGTTTCCCATCAGCAGTCTTTCCTAGACTAGGCGGACCTGGTTTCATTACAGGCCTTGTTTGCTAAATTTCTTGTGCTTTTTAGCTTCTTTACTCCTGACCTGTCTCCAGTTTGTGTGTATCGCTCCCAGTAGTAGTGCTGCTTTATTCTTGCTGATTTCATATTAGTTCTTTTGTCAAGCTCATTATGATTGGTAATCTTGTCATCTAAAGTCCTAGTACTCCCTTCCAGCTCCTTTAATTTAATAATATTAATATTGTGCTCTCTGATACATTGCCTAAGTAGTTAGGAGTCTGGTAGTACTCAATAATTTTGTTAAACCCTTTCAGAACCTCACTTCTGGGGTACATTCCCAGGCTGAGCATGAGTCATTGCTAACTCTTATTCTTTGAGCTTTTTTTTTTAATTCCTAGTTATTTGTAAAGCCTGAGCTGTGCAGTCAGTATCAGTAAGTTATGTCCATTAATTCCTCCAAGCCACATTCTACTTTCTGCTGCCATTGCCAAAATAAGTCCATGTAGTCTCCCTGTAGCCACTGCTTTGCAAAGGCTTCTGAGACCCATGCAAGGCTCAGGTAGGCTTGGGCAGTGAATCTGGTATGCCCAGTGTGGTTTTCAGGTGTCAGGCAGGCTCATTAGTCTGTAATTCCTGTATCCGCATTTCTTTCTCTATAGAATGCTGCTTCTGTTAGAGCTTTTGTGAATTTTAATTTCAATTTTCCTTTAAATTTTCATTTTGTCCCGGACCAGTCCTATGAAAGCATTATGGTGTTATGATGGGTCTAAGTCAACCTTGTATGGTGTTGCCACGAAGAACGATAGTGCTGCTCTGGCCCTCTCATCTCTCTCTTCTTTCAGGTCTCACAGTCGTGTGACTCTGCAGTAACCAAAGTTTTCTGTTGCTTTGGTGATCTGATTTGGTTTGCCGTGCTGCTGCCATTGCCCATGACAGCACAAGGGAGGGGGCAGAAATAGGGGTCTGGGGGGGGAAGCGTAGAACTGTTTTCTTTGGCTTCAGCACACTGCTGAATCAGCTGCAGCTGATCATGAAACCATGCTGCAAGCATTAGTGCCTGTCAGGAATCTCACACTTGTATGTTTTTTCTGGCAGGAAAACAGTTCTTGGAATACTGTTGTCCTGGCAGAGGATGTGCCAATGAAAATGAGTTTGTGTGCTGATGTATTGTATCTGAATTGGTGCCACTTTGCTAAGTATAGCCTTTGCAGAACCTGCAACAAGCTAAGATGTGTCTTGCTTCTGAATGTGGGAATCGATGAATTGGCGATTAGTGAACATAGACAGTTCTGTCATGGACCAATGCACTTAGCCTTCCTGAATTATGAGTGAGATACACATCAGGGAAGACTAAACCCCTCAAAAGACCTGACAGTATGTTTCTAAACTTATTACTTCTGCAATTTTAGGTGTGAGGGACATCCACGCCGACCATGCAGCCAGTCACATCGGGAAAGCGCAAGGCATAGTTACCTGTTTAAGAGCAACTCCTTATCATAGTACAAGACAAAAGGTCTTTCTTCCCATGGACATTTGTATGCTGGTAAGAGAAGCAGGTTATCTGGAATTGAACAGTATGGGGTTTCTAACCGTGTCTCTCAGTGCTAGATATGAGGTCATAATTTATTAGGCCAGAAACAGAACACCTTTTTTCTTTATCTTAACTCTATCTGCTGTGGCCTAGTGACATGCCATTGTCATGGTTTGATATCTTCTGGGAGGTGAGAGGAATGACCTTCATGAAACTCTAGCGTATCTGATTATTTATTTTACTTAAATGTGGCACTATTTTAGCTTTCAGGATTTTTTCCATTAATGTGTAAAAATACACGTATGGAATGAGGCCTGTGTTTTGTTGGTTTGGAGTTTATAGTTTTGGTGGTTTTTTTTGTGGGGAGGGGTTGTGGGTTGGGTTTTTTCACAGGGTGGGTATGTGGGTTTTCTCCTTTTTTCTTTTCCTATCTCCAGAAAAGGAAGCACTGGGAGAAATTTTACTTCTGAACAACCTTCTGGGTTTCTCTTTACTACCTTTTCATAAATGTACTGGTGGGTTTGGTTTTTTTGGGGGTTGGGGTTTTTTCATTACTTATTTGATAGCTATAAGCATACATTCAGTACATTGCTGTAGGAGATGATATAGTCCTCTAATTTAAACTGTACCTCTAAGTTGCATTGGAATTTAGCAGATCTTGCAATTTGTGTAAAATGGGATTAAAGCTCATTTTTTCATTAATGTTCCCTGGCTTGATCTGCAGGCATCACAGGTGTTATTCCTTCATCTTCAGTCTTTATTTTTAAATGCTAATGCTGTTCTTTTTATACTTAACCAAAATGTATGTAATTATAGTGATGCTTAAGGCAACTTTATTGGTATTTTCTGAGTATCATTTCAATACAATTGAAAGTTTTGATTTGAAGTTTAGTAATTCGGGTAGTTGCAAAAAACGTAGCTACTGAACTGGGTCACGGTTATAAGACTGCAGAGAGGAGCTGCACCCTGCTTGCAGCCCTTCTGGAACTGGATGGCATGGGAGGCCTTCCAGGTATTTAGCTTTTCAAACATAGTCTGAAAATTCACAGTCATCCCTTGCCATGGAAGGTGTTTTAGAGTGAAACCAAAAGCAGCTTGCATCCCTTCTGTGCAGACTGAGCGTCTTGTCAGCATTCCAGCTGCTGCCAAACATCGCAGAGTTCTGCTGGAGCCTGTGTCTCCTGTGAAGCCTCCCTGCGCACCTTCAGAGAGCTTTCACATGTCTGAGCACTGCTGAGAACGGGCAACTGCTGCAATTCTGAATATACCATATTATGTTGGTCACTAGAGTCAAAGAATAAGTTTGGGGTAGGTTTTTTTGGGCTTTGGGGTCAGGTTTTTTGGTGGTTTTTGGTTAGGTTTGCATTTGGGGTTTTTTTTTGTTGGTTTCTGTTGTTGTGGTTGGTTGTTTTTTTGCAAGCCTGATGATGCACACCAATCTCAAGATAATGACTTGCTTCATAAGCCAGAATGGCTTCTGTGTTAGTTATTACTGGCTTTCTTCTCCTTAATACTGATTCTTGGATTATGATTATAAAAATTGGGCACCTACACTGATCTAAATTCTCAAAACTTTAAAATCTGTCTTGGTTATCTGACTGACCACAAAGTCTTCAGGGATCAGATTCAGGCAGAGTCTGTACCACCTGTTCTCTTTGTTATCTTGATTTTGTTTTTCCAAGTGACTGACAAAAAAAAAGGGGAAATAAAAAAGGAGAGGGCAGTGGCAAAACATTTAGGCTGTTTCAGTCTTGTGTCATTAGTTTGGTTGCTGGGACAGGTTTTTGAGAAGCTAAAATGGATTTCTCTTTTTTATTTTCCTTCCTATGTCTAGCGTGGAGTTTCACAAGAGGATTTCATAAGAGGCAAGCAAGAGAAAAATGTAAGAGATGTAATTTATGACATTGCCAGCCAGGCCCATATTCATCTAGAACATGTGAGTTTCCTTCCCTTTTTTAAAAATTTAAATAAACATAATTGATGCTAATCTTCACAAAGCATTGTGCATATGTGTTGTTAGAAGAGTTATAGCTGCACACTTAATTTCACATATTTTACCTTTAATTACTTTGACAGTTTAAATAGAACAAGCAAAACAAAAAACACTGCACAAAACCTGTAAATATTTTACAACTACTTCATTGTGAATATTATATTTATCTGTATGCACAGGAGGCAGTTCACTCACAGCCAGGTCCAAATGTATACATGTAAATACTGCCTAAAAGCCTTATTACTGGGAGAGAGGCTTCAGCAGACTTTTCGTAAGTGCAAGCATGTGCCAGCATGGGGTCAGCAGCATAGGAAGCACCTCTGTGTATGGCACTTAACAGCACAATGAAGCAAAGTCCTGCTCGTTTTTCTTTATGCTCTTATTTTAGCTGCACTTTGAATTGCTTGTTCGTACGTATTACAAAAGCAAAAGGAAGTTTCATCTGCAATGTTTGCCTTTATCTGGAAAACAAAGCTTGTAAGAAGCACTGTAAACAGTTTCTTATGTCTACGAGTACATGTACACATACACTTTGTATTGCACCCAGTACTTCCAGTTAATGTAGTTGGAAAAGATACCACTTCAGATAAAGAAATGCCAGATTTCTCTCTGCATTTACACCATTAATAAAATCCTCAATTACAGCTTTACCTGTCATCATGGTATTTTATGCTGTGGAGTTAGGAGAGCCCTTCTTCATTTTCGTGAAGGTAAAATGAGGCATT